TTAATTCATAAAAAAGGTATAATCTAACATAAATTTATCTTCCAGGTGTGCTGTGAGCAACGCCCTCCATTTGAATATAATCATATATACATTTAGCCCAACAGCCACACTTCTACCATGTGCAAGTTAGTATAAAGACAGACATTCTAAGAACAAAACGGGTGTTTAACTATTGTGCTAATGCCCTTTTTGTAAGCACAAGTTGGGTGTCATGCCTTCAGACAGAACCAGATTCCCATTTATATAATCTTTGCCTGTAGCCTAAATTGAGAGGATTGTCTGTATGGAAACCGTTCCAGAAAGAAATTGCCATGGTCAATAAATTAATACCTCCCTTTTGCAGAATAGCCTACTCCCATTTTTGATTGAGGATTGGTTTTCAGATAAGTTTTCTTCAAGATAAGAGTAGGACAAACCTATCAGGAATAACCAATATAAAAATTGTAATTTAAAAGGCCCTTGTGCAAAGTAAGGTCAGCTACAATCTATATGCTGCCTGACAAAGAAAGCAAGAAAACAAAGTTAAACTGTTTTCCTCATGATTTGCTAAAATGGATTAGGAAATGCACAATATTGATAAATACACAGACTTATTTTCAGCACAGGTAGATTCCCAAACTACATCTCTTTTCCCCAGTCCAGGCCACTGTTCTCATTCTGCATGAAATCCCACTTTCCCCCAGTATGCTGAAGTGCTGCATTTGTTATTGGCACATGCCGGCATGCTTATTTTAGGAGTTGTGATTTCAAGTGACAAATTAAAATCTATCGCTTCTATTGAAATGTGCACTTATAAAATGAGCGTCCCTTTAATATATACTTAAAGCTCACAGGCCTTGGTACAAAGTATGTATACATGGATTACGAATTTAAGTTAAAGGAAATCCAAGACCCTAAAATTTAAGGATTAATATAAAAAAAAACACTGATAAGAGTCTTCAATTGAGATTACTGGGCTCCACTTTCCAATTAAAAAAAAAATAAAATAAAAAGCTCACCTTTTATTAAACACCTAGCTCAGTGTTGGTATGAAAGTTAAAGTATGAAATTCCACTTTATCAAATTAACTAGGAACCAAAGGACTGTGGGGGCCCTACTGTTAGGAAAGTGTCAAATCATTCTTAAACAGTGTGACAGAATATAGTCAGAAGACAACCCGTAACCTCAATGGTTAGAGTGCCCTTTTTCCTCCTTGTTGCAGGATTTGAGTAGCAAGACTGCAGGGGTATATAATATTTGCACTAAAACCACTTCATTAAGCTGAAGTGGTTTTTGTGCTTAAAGGACCACTATAGTGCCAGGAAAACATACTAGTTTTCCTGGCATTATAGTGCCCTGAGAGTGCCCCCACCCTCAGGGTCTCCCTCCCGTCTGGCTCTGGAAAGCGGAAAGGGGTAAAAACTTACCTTTTTCCAGCGCTGGGCAGGGAGCTCTCCTCTCCTCCGTTCCTCCTCCTGGGCTGAATGCGCACGCGCGGGAAGAGCTGCGCGCGCATTCAGCCGGTCACATAGGAAAGCATTTACAATGCTTTCCTATGGATGCTTGCGTGCTCTCACTGAAAATCACAGTGAGAAGCACGCAAGCGCCTCTAGTGGCTGTCAATGAGAGCCAGTAGAGGAAATAGGGGAAGGCTTAACCCATTCATAAACATAGCAGTTTCTCTGAAACTGCTATGTTTATGAAAAAATGGGTTAACCCTAGCTGGACCTGGCACCCAGACCACTTCATTAAGCTTCAGTGGTCTGGGTGCCTAGAGTGGTCCTTTAAACATTTAACCTCTTGCCCCGTATGTCCATATGCTCTATAACCTAGCCCATGTATAAATTACAAAGTGTTGTAAAGTGCACTGCAAAAAAAATATAAATAAAAAACAGGGTGCAAGAGAATATTGGAACAGACAACAGCTCAAATAACCTGCCCTTTGGTGGGTGCCTGCTTAGATCTCTAGCTGGTTTTCTCATCTTGTGCCATTACAAAAATGGCCAGGGCCATTTGCATGTCAGACCGATTCAACCCTAAAGTGCGTAACAGACCCAAAATGCAGGCCAGGTCTCTGCACGAGAGATCCAGCAACCCCAGACGAACGTTTTCACCTTGTTAGGCATAGTCAGTGACGTATAGCAAATATCCCTCTAGGCATCGTGAGCAAGGGTTCCACGTCTGGATTACCCTTTGAACTTTAGTTCATGCTGTTTAATTGCTCACTACACTGTCATTTTGTGTGTTTAATCACTTTGCTTCAGTCAGGGAAGGTGCTGTGTAACCGCCTCCTTACACTTTCCCAAACTAAATTTTTGTAGCTTCCAAATCTGCAGTGTTTAATTTAGAAACTCATCTACTTTGCTTTTAAATTCTTAACTTGCACATTCTGCCTTGCAGTCTGAGAATTACATGTGCTCCTACTGCATTTCACTGTAGATGCTTTAAGCTTCATGAGTTTGTAAAGTTGCCCTCAACATGAAAGTTCAATTGATTAAATTGTGTGGGGTTTGTTTTTATAAAAAACTTACCTAACTACTGTATTATGCACTCAAATGCAGCAATAGTTTGAAGTGTCAGTTCGAGAGAAGTGACTTACACTTCAGAATGGATGTCAGACAACAGAACACTTGCTTGCATACATTATAGACTATAGCATAACCTATCCTGGCATAATAGTCAATAAAATGGTCTATAAAAAAAATATATAATATCACAACATCTGTTTATTCGGTCAGAAAATTAGACACCGATTTTCCATATTATTCTGCTTTAAACTTCCAGATTCTCCTGTTCTGCCCATCTGTGCAGCCATTAGTACAATTTCATTCACTATAACATGGGAATTGCTTGGTCAAAACAAGAACAGCAGTCAACTTCAATTCACTTGTTCATTTCACAGAAAGAAAAAGGAAAAAATTAAATTGTTTGCTATAACAAACAAGGAATTTCTGCAAAATCTCCCATTGAAAACCATGAGAGACCAAGTATGGACGAGTGATCTTATGACCTGGGCATTTTAAGATCATAGCTACAGGATACTTTGGAAAAGGCGAACTTCAAAGCCGTTTCATTTCTGCATCTCTAAATTCAAGTGCAATATTTTCTTGCAGTGTCTAAAATATTGGTTGGGTTTATAAAAATGAATGAGTTTCATGACAAGAACTTTCTATTGTACATAGACATTGTAGCGGAGGGGTAGTATAATCCACAGTATCTCCGCTGGTAGACAGGAGCAGCGTATAATCCAGATAGAACTAGTACAGCATACAATAATCCCGGTAGCATTATACAGATCCTTCCTTCCCAAGAACTAGACACAGGCTGGGAGTCAACTGAGGTTTTATTCACAAGCTCCAGTATTTATGTGGTTCCCCATGCAAGGAGTTTCCTTACTGACTTTACAGGGGTTGTACAGTAGGGGACTACATTGGGAACTTAACATACAGAGCATTTCTCCCACAATGCACCGCTGTACGAGAGGGATACTCCCACTTGAATAACCAGTTAAAGGACCACTATAGGCACCCAGATCACTTCAGTTTAATGAAGTGGTCTGTGTGCCTGGTCCAGCTAGGGTTAACCTTTTTATAAACAGTTTCAGAGAAACTGCTATGTTTACACTGAGGGTTAATCCAGCCTCTAGAGGCGCTTGCGTACTTCTCACTGTGAATGTCAGTGAGAAGACGCCAGCGTCCATAGGAAAGCATTGTAAATGCTTTCCTATGAACTGGCTGAATGCGTGCGCGGCTCCTGCCGCGCATTAAGCCGATGCAGTCGCTAGGAAAGAGGAGAGGAGGAGGAAAGCTCCCCGTCCGGCGCTGGAGAAAGGTACTATTTTAACCCCTTACTCTCCAGAGCCTGGCGGGAGTGGGCACCCTCAGGGCACTATAGTGGTCCTTTAAGTGGATTATCCCTCCGTACAGCAGAACTGGCTTTTTACATAAAAATCCATAACTCCAATATTTGTGCTATTGTACCGAATGACCGTTCGGCAGATAGCTGGGGTCTGAGTGCATACTTTGTGAAAGTACCGCTTGGATCCCAGCACAATTAGCTGAACGCCGCACGAAATACAGTTGAATACAAATTCTTCATAAAAGTCCCGAATACACATTTAAAGATAAAATACCGAGAGACCAGAGCTCCCAAACTGCCTGGAAGTCCAGCGGTATTCGTGCCGTCGAGTAGCAGATTTTAGTTCCAGGCACTCGACAACCAAACACCGCTGGGCTAACAAAGGATCCAAGAAGGCAACCGCCTCATGGTCGGTATCCGAATGGCGGCCACCCTGAACATCTATTAACTGCCGAAAGATACATTGTTGCAAACCGTAATGGGAGCCACAAGTCCTCCTGTGTGTGGTCTCCCATTCGGTAGTTTGTTCGTTTCACGAACAGTGTTGAAATTCACTGTTCGTGAAACTACTGTATGAATGCTGGTGGCTTTCGTGCCGCCAGCATACAAATTCTCTCGTTCACCTCAAACACAGAATAAGTAACATGGACAGCTCAGGCAGTCTGAATGCACAATAATACAAGGTAAATACAGTCTTAGGTGGCTAGGTTTGCCACAGAGTCTCTTCTAAACATAGTCTAGTCCTCACTAGATATTGCAAATGTCTCAACAAGTTATTTGGGCAAGTATGCAATTATAGATAATAAGTCACAGGGTGTAGGTAGGATACAACTCTGTATAACTGAAGGCATAAATAAATGATAAACTGTTGTCATGGGTCAAAGAAAATAGTTTTATTTACATCACATTTGTAGTTTGGATACTGTGTAAACCTCAAGGAATTATTGAACTCCTGGGGCACAAAAATGGCAAAAGGGATTAACATTTATTTTTTTTTACAAAGAAAAAAGTTATAAAAAAAAAAAAGTTAAGATTCAAAGAGGATTGAATGTAAATTACTTTCACACTAACCATAATTGTTACCTTCAATCTTTTACATATCACTGTTTCTTCACAAATTGCAAAGTTCTTTGTATTGTAATAAAAGCTGGAAGCCACTTTACTCATTTCTCTCTGAAAAAAAAAAAAGAAAATAAGCATATTTAGTAAACAAACCACCAGTGTGGTTTGTGAATTGTATTCAAAACAAACACTTGCCAGTAAAATGACAGTGAACATACGGTACTCCCTTTCCCAACAGCTGCTGCACACAGAACGCTAGGTTTATTAACTGATTACACTAGTCTAGTGGAAAAACTGTCCTGTCACAAGCACAAGAGCCTTTTAACTAGTGACCCATGTGACGGAAGCGAAACCTACGTTTCAGAACCACACAGTAAATGAAACTTCTTCCTCTTAGCCTTGCTAAGGTATTTAAAGGAACAGTCTAATCACCATTACATAACGTTTAAGTGCCAGGAGCTCAGAGTAAGAGTGAGATTATTAATTTATTTTTAGTGTTTTGACATTTAACTGGGTGCTAGTAATCAGGCCCCAATTCAGATATACCTAAAAAAACACTGATGTTCCTACTTCCACAATAGATATCCATTTGTCCTTATTGGGACTGGTCTCTCAACAAATTAATTCCATCCAAACAAGATCTAGATGTCACCAAGTAGCAGCTTCCACTTTACAGATATCTAGCGACCAGACCAAGGGCACCCAGAAAGCCAAGGTAAGGGTCAAACTATTCAAAAAAAATGGTTTGACTCATTCAGGTGACAGATCCAGGAACACCATAATCACTACAGCAAGCAGGTTATGGTGTTTAGAGTGCCACCAACTTCTGCTCACCGTGGCTTTTCCCCCCCCAAAGTAAAAGGTTCTTGTCTCCCCCCCAAATATGCCTAAAAGTTGAGTTTGCCACTCAACTCTAACATTCCACTTAATAAATGTGGTCATCTCAGGTGTTACAATGCATCTTTTTAGTCCTCCATCTCCTGTTTCCCACCCCTCCTATTCATCTAGATTGTAAATTGCCTTGGAATAGGAATATTTTATGAGGCATAGAATGCAAAACCAGGACTATGGTGATGGCAATTTTTTTAAACTAAGCTATTAAAAAAAGGAAATGCTAAATGACAGGCCTCTACCCATTCTATAGTTTTGACCCTTCTGCAGTGACAAATGATCATGGCACAAACCAGAGGTCGCAACATCATAATTAATATTTTTACAATGTCTTTACTTGTACCCATGTAAAGTGCTGCAGAATGTGTTTGTGCTTTCTAAATAAAGTATAATCTGGCAATGCAGATGTTTGGGAATACAGTTTAGAATGCTCAATCTATGTAGCTGAACAAAGCAAAGGTGTGAGCAGATCTGATTCTCCAAAATTGTGTTGACCAGCATGATTAAGCATTGTTTCTCATCTGCCATTTCTGTAGAAGCCACTATGTCACCCATTACTGTATAGCCTTCTTGGATACAATACTTTGTAGGTATATCTGACAGGGTTTCCTCCAAAACATTGGGGTGGGGTAGGAGCGTTTATGAGATTTAAAATTGGGGAGGGAGTAGGACACTTCCTAACAATACATCATGTAGTTAACCCCTTAAGGACATATGACGACATGTGTGACATGTCATGATTCCCTTTTATTCCAGAAGTTTGGTCCTTAAGGGGTTAAACAAAGTGCATTCCAACGTGTATGGAATGCCCTTTTAAGATTAAGATAGTTTTTTTTTAAAGTGTTATTCTATTAAATTCAAGATACACTAAGGGTGATCTAATCAATAAACAATGTTTGTTCCCTATGCTTTATCCACCTACGCACACTAAAGCTGGTCATCGAGTAAAGACTAGTCGACATGGGATTTTTGTTCAATAAAAAAAAAAAAAAAAAAAACTCATTTGGTGCCAAGGACTACAGTATCAGATGGACAAGGCAAACATATCTACAGGAGAGGGGGGAGGCGTGGGACTACCGTAGTTCTCAGTTTAAAGGGACAGTCTTCATGAAGTGGTTATGATAATGAAAGGTTAATGACAATCTGTTAGAACTTTTAAGATCCCACTCCTAGGAGCAGCACCTGCAAGTCACTTCCATGTCACTGAGACACTCAGTTGAGCGAGCCGACATGTGAGGCGGAAGTGTAAGCTGTCTTACACTGACAGGGCTGGAGACAGATTTGGTTTGCAAAACATGCAAAGTTTCTCCAAGCGTCATACCCACTACAGGCAGGTGTTAAAGACATTTGCACAGAATTGTCAAAAGCCAGCCAAAATCTCTCGCTCCAGGCTGGCTTGACACTGCTGCCCAAGGTGAAGTCAGGTAGCTTAAATATGAATACTTCATAACACTGATTATATCCGGATGTTTTGAGAAAATCATTAACCGTATCATTACATGATGCTTTGAAGATAGCATAGAAATTAAGAAGCTGCTTATAATAAAGATACCAAAGTAACTTAATCTCTTTAAAATTAATTAACATATGTATCTGCATGGACCTGTTAGAAAGAATGCATCCATCAACTATAGGCATCTTGAAAAGCCTAAAGGCCATGCATTCTTCAAATAAAAAAACCTAGTCTGTAGAACGGCCAATACTGGAAAGTTCCTTTAACACGGTACAGGACGGGACAGACATACACAACTCCGCAGCAAAGTGGCCGATCACAAAACGAACGAGACTGCAGAGTGCCAACGTGTACAAGATTGATTGTAATCACTTTACATTCATTATACAACTCCAACATGCCATTTAAGCCTTTCCCCTCAACTGTCCCACCTGGTGACATATGAATAGCATACAAGTTTGACGATCGTACGGCTCACCCAGAGGGACATAACGTTATCGGATAAAGGAGACAAAATTTTTTTTTTAAAAAAAAGCACCCACGGAGTGATTTCTATAAATAAATTTGGCAAATTTGAACACTGAAATTTTATCCAAGTGGAAAGGGTTAAAGGTACTCAGGAACTTTAAGGGATTGTTTCTATAGCCATGTGGAAGCCCCAGACCATGTATAAAGCTAGGCCCCAACTAGAATTGTGTACCTATTCACCAACATAGGATTAAGGATCAATAGAATTGTGATGAATTGTAATAAATCACTATTTCAGAGTTTAACAGGTGCCAGGTGAACATTCTGTCTGAACAAAGTATGAACTTCATTTTTCTAGAGTAGAAATAGCCTAGGGTAGTTTACGTGGTTTTTGCTACGTCTCCATAGATCCAATTCAAACAATGACTTTCTATAGGAAAATGTCCAGCATTGCACAATCCAATAAACATTTTCTGTCCAACATCCCAACCTCAACCCCAGCAAGATGATATCTTTGGGATAATTTGCAACATAGACTACTAGTAAGTAGTAATCGACCAACCTCACTAGTGATTGAATAGAAGTCAATTTCAACTGCAATAATATAACACCTACAAGAATTTGATCACAAAACCCTACACACCACAGGCTCTGGATATCAAAAGAAGTTCAGTCCATTTTAATATCAACTTTGTCCCACCTGGACATCATTCATTACAGTGGAGAGCCATTTGTTTTTTGGTCCCTGAAGGGGTCCATTGTAGGACCTTAGTAAACATTAAAAGCATATAATTAATTTGTCAAATAAATTGACAACTTAAAATCTACTCAGTCCCTGAGAGTGTCCTTGGAGGAGCCACAAGAGAAATTTGAAAGCCCCCGTACAGTTAAGGGGAGGCACCCAGAGGCTATTTAAACATCAGTCCTGTGGGTACATTTCAATCTGCATAGTGCATTAATTTGACATTACTGTATTACACTATTTTAAGTTTTTTATAGATTAATGGCTGTATCCTCTGTTTTGTTATATATTGGTTGTAACATAAGGGGACATACCATGGTATAAGTTCTGCAGGAACTTTACATCTACTCAATTAGAATAAGTTTTTTTCTAATTACCAAACCCAACACTAAAGTTGTGGGTCATCTGTAAATAATGTGCCTGTCACTTACTACATTTTATTGGCTGAGAAAAAACAAAAAAAAAAAACAACTTTAGTCAGTGTGTCGACTCTTATTTTTGTAAAATTTCACTCTTAAGCGAGCGTAACAGTATACAAGTACTCATTGCCATGAAAATGTGCGGTGTTGCAGGGCTGTTTAATGACATTTATAGGGCTTTTTGTAAGTTTCACTAGCTGCCTGAAAAATCTATAACCTTCACTCTTTTACGTCACTGATTCAATAAAGCCCACCCACTCCTATGCGTCTGAATAAAATTAAGACCAACATCAATAAAGATTTTTAGAGCATAGCAGTACACAACAGGCTCAAAGTCTTGTTAACCCAAACCAGCACAAATGTATCTGCAAAACTGCTATAACAACGCTAGTCTAGGGCAAAGTGATGTTTTATCTGCCTTATAGGAAGCATGGATTGGGAATACTACCTTATTCACCAAACCATGAACGATTAGAAAGTCACATGGGAATATCAAATTAAAGCAGAAATAGTGGAGGAAATCTAGATTTAGTGAACACCTATGGTTAATTCGGTTGGCATCTAATTATAGTAGTTTTGATGTTAATTGCAGCACATAAACAGCTTACTTGGAAATATTCTCTTAGCCACAGCTTTTTTTAATTCTAATATTTCACTGCAACCTAATGTTTAGTAAATATCCCCTTGTGTAGATCTATTCTAAACAGTATGCAGTTAGACAATTTATAAGCCCACAAGAGAATTATTGTAAGATCCTAATAAGCAGTTGGGCACCATGGTTAAAAGGGACACTATGCACCAAGACAGCCATCTTAGAGGATCTAGGGATTACCCAGTTGTGTCTAAGGTTTCTTAGAAAACTGGGTAATCCCTAAATCTAGGACTGGTAGGCATGCCCTGAGGACTGGTTTGGAAACCACTGCTTTAAGTGATACTATAGGCACCAAAACAACTTTAGCTAAATAAGGAAGTCTTGATTAATAGATCATGCTCCATGCAGTCTCGCTGATCAAGTCTGCCATTTCAGAGTGAAATCGCTTTTGTTTGTTTATGAAGCCCTAGCCACACCTCCCTGGCTGTGAACAAAAACACATTTTAAATTCAGATTTTTGTATCTCCTGCTCTGTCTTTGAACTTTAAACACAGAAGGCTCCTGCAGGGTCTAGACGCTATTAACAGCAGGAGAATTAAAATTTTAACAGAATGTTCAATACAAGGAAGTTTTAACATTAGATCTCGTTATATGAAGCGTTCAGGAAGGCTGTGCAAGTCAGATGCAGGGAGGAGTGACTAGAGTTGTATAAGAAAAGTGATTTAACGGTTAAATGGCAGATAATCAGGCAGGGAGACTGCAGGGCCATTGTCTATACACCAAAACAGTTTCATGAAGCCAATTTTGTTTTTGTGCCTATAGTGTGCCTTTAGGAACATGAACATGCCCCTGTAGTCTAACTGCTCAATTATCTGCCATTAAACTGGCACTGTTACCATCTGGGGATTTGCAGAATTTGCAAAGAGCCCTGACAGTAAACTCCTTTGAGCAGGGTCATCATCTACCTATTGTTCCGGTATCATTTTGTAAGTGTCTTATTTATTGTTAAATGTCCCCTGTTAATAGTGTAAAGCACTGCAGAATAAGTTGGCGCAATATAAATAGCAATATTAAAGTAAAAAATGACAGTGACATCTCTGCTTGTGTCTGGTGGCCACAGGAGGCAGGAAAAAGAGTTCAGCTTACCTGCTCCTGTTCCTTGAGGGTGCCACTATCTTCCTCCTGTGGGCCCTCCAGCTCCTGGAGCCACTGTCACTGCTGTACTCCTGCATGTGCGAGAGTACATCATTGAAGTCTATGAAGATTCCCGCAAGACTGCAGGATCCTCCATAGACCAAGCCAATGCCCTGCAGCCAGTTGGATTGGCACTAGCTCAACCCTGTGTCTAACAGTCAGGCGCAGGAATGATACATAAGGCAAAGTAGTCCCTACTTTGTAGTAAGTTTTTAGTTAGAAAGATTAAAATGAAAACAAATTAAAGCTAGAAAGCTACAATTTCTGGGGAAATTGTGTGAAGTGTTCTTGCCTCCACCAGTAGTCTACAACTGGAGTGGGCTGAGTAACTTTATTTATAGAGCACATTTAATTGCAACGTTGTTGCCCAACGTGCTTCAGAGTTACATTAAAACATACATTTATAAAAACATTAGCAGGTGTACAAAAGGCCCTGTCTATGACATCACTTGCTGCTGCAGCCTGGCACAGGTCAGTATTTTGGCAGTTGCCATCTTCAAATGGTCTTATTTTAAAAACTATACAGCCTACAGTGAAGAGCTTTATATTGTGAAAATCAAAAGACCCAGACCTACATTTTGATGCATATTATGTCTCTGAAGTATTAAAAAATGAAGGCGCAGTTTAGAAATTGCCCTTCAAGTTTAAGCTGGCTAGAGTGGAGTTTCAATGAATGTCAATGGACGGCATGAGTTGCAAACAAATGGTCATATCGTGCAAACTATCAGGACTATGGCTTAGCCGTGGACATTTTTAGTAGCAGCAGGGATAGCTGAACGTTTTGATATAAGATTTGTGTAGGTGGGCTTGAAAATGAGGGAGTGGTGGCAGTTTAGAAATCATGTCTTGATTTTTCAGCTTTTGACAGCTCCCACTCTAGTTTTGAGCATTTTGCCATTCATTCCTATGGGACCAATTTCGCCACAAGAACGACTATGCCGTGAACCATTCGGCGAAACGTTCCACAAAGTAATAGCAATCCGATCGGGAACAATCTGCACGTTTTGGTATATTACTGTCTATGTAGTGTAAAAATTGTGGGTGGAGTTAGGATAATAATAGTGAGATAACATTAAGTGGTCTTGCTATGCAAGAGATTGGGAAAATGTATGGTGTGACAACGCCACTTGAAGTCAAATCACTTTCTACAATCCCAGAAACTCCTCTCCAGGCTGTGAAGTGCAGTCTCCCTACACATTTCCTGTAGCTAGATCTAATTTGAACTTTATTTAGTTTAGAATTTTTTTATGTCCTCTCAATAGTTTGCAGGAGCAGGTGTGAGTAAAGTTATATATAAAAAAAGCAGTATATAAACTTTTAAAGCAAATGATGCTAGTGATCTGATTGAAAGTGAAACCATTTTTTTCCTGGAGGCCGAGTCACAGCCAGGGCTGCATAAACAAACAATTTCACTCCTAAATGGCTTCAAATAGAGCAGCGAGAATGCAGGGGACATACTGAAGTTTTGTTGCTTAGAACATCCCTTTAGTCATAGGAGAGAATGCAACACAAATATGTCTGCAAATGAAAGCCAAATTGCATGCTTTGGGCGTTGTTTTCTGCCCAAGCCATCTTAAATTGAGGACTAAAAGTGTTAAACGTAGTATGTGCCAAAAGCAAAAATGTTGGGAAGTCGTAAAAAACTTTTGCACATTTCTGGCACTTGCGTGACCTCTTTACATGCTTTTTTGAACTACTTTGAGGACTAGCAGCCACTTTTCACATTATAAAGCATTGCTCATTTGACACTTAAACGTAGGAGGGTTTGAATTTTTTTTGGCACTTACATCGTTCACCACTTTTTTCCTTTAATTTTTTTATTTTTGCAGTGCATAGTGAATGATACAATTAGGTCTGAGGTGCCCCAAAAGCAGTCCACAGGCTTTTCCTTGCATAACATGCGGGACAAATGTTTAACAGGCACATTTTCTATATTTTAAGCAGGCTTTGTTCAATCGGTTATTATACAGGCGAATAAACAATATAACTTGCAACAAGATTCATTCTAGATATAGAGACATTGCTAGTCTGGCTTGCAGTGCTAACAGCTTGGGTGAGCATTCATTCTAGCATGTTGTCGTATATAGTGCTATTGCTAAACAGCAGAAAACAGCACACAATCTGTACTAGTGCATAGGGGCCTTTAGTGTTGGGTAAACGGGCTAGGGAGGAAGACCGATAGGGTGCCAGTGGCTACCAGACTAGGAACATGTAGAGACATTAGTTACTCATTTCAGGAGATACTCCTGTATGTTTAAAGCTATTACAAAGCAGTAAAATGGGAGGCTTCTCTGAACCTGAAGCAAATTAAAGAAAACAAAGATTCAAAATCGTTATGTCTTAGCGTTAAATTATCTAGACATGTGCCTTCTAATGAAAAATGCCAAGCAGTGAGTCTGACATGCCTTAATGCTTAGTCCCCATTGGCAGCCCATCTGACCACGGCTTCCCCCGGCAGCAATCCCTATGTTTCCCATCGATGGGTATAGTCACAAAGTCCCATGAGTCCTGTCAGATGGTCCTTCTCAGCCGATGACCCCATGTGGCAGAAGGTGTGCAAGCCTCCCAGTGAGCTGTCGCAGGGCATTTCCAGCAGGTTCTTCCATCGGTGGTGCAGCCGGGAGCTGTTCTCACGTGTCCCAGGGATGCGGCCCATGGGACTGGTCAGTGTCGTAGCAGGCTTTGTGAGCATCGCGAGGGTTTACGCTGTGCTGGTTCAGAGTTATTCGTGCCAGTTGGTCCTATTCTGAGGCTCTGGGTCATTATCGTTTCTGTCAGAGGGCCCCGGCGCCTTTTCCTGCCATGTTGATCCTCTGCTTCGTTTCCATCTGGAGGCTGCTCGTGAGATACTAGGTGGGTACTCCTGCAGGTGGCATCGGGTAGCCAGGTGTATCCACGCCTTTGCTTCTCTCACTGCTAGCTTGTAGGTCTGTCTCCTGTTTTTAAGCTTCACCCAGAGATAGGTGCATAGCCAGCCAACAAACTCCAGTGTGTGCCTGGGCGGCTTAATAGGTGTTCGCTGGGTCATAGGCTGCTTTTGAGCCGCCATCTTGGCTGGGCTCAGTTAGTCTCATTTGGCTGGAGGTTTAGTCGCTTGGTTAGGCGGTAGTGTGGGGGTGATCGCCCCCAGCGAGGACCGGGATGTCCCCCACCGGTCCAGAGGGGGGGTAGCAGGGTTGTAGTAGACACTTGCTTGTGTGCTTGTCCCATGTCGGGAGATTGGCCGCCTCTCCCAGACCTCAGGCTTTGCTCTGGTTTAGGCCGTATGGCCGATGGAGGTTTTTCCTCAGTGCACCAGTGCCGGACAGGTACCGTTTCGTTTGTCATGTTGCTCTGTGTCTGTTCCCGGTCACTTTGTGCCTCCAACATAATAGTGTCGCTCGGTTTCAGCTCATATTTGCCATTTGTTGCAAGAGCTCCTAGGACATGCGACTGGCCATCTCGGCTGGCAGGCCCCGCCCCCCGTTCACCACTTTGTGTCTTCAGTTATTGTACTATATGAAATCGGTTATGTCTGTTAAGAGACTAGTCCACACATTTCTACATTTACTGATATAACTAGAAATTACCACCTTACAAAGTCAAGCCTCTACATTTTATTTATTTTCTTCCAGCATAAAATCTAACCCAATTAAGGCTTTTTGGTTAGTTGGGTCACACTACCACAAACCACTTTCAATAAACAGTCACCCTAATTATCTATCAGGCCCACAAGTCAAAAGTAGAATTAACAGGAGATACAGCATGATGCAGACAGAATGTAAACACAGAGGCACAGATAACATACAGCAGCAGTGACATCATGTGGACAGAATTTATATAAACATGGTATCAGGCTGACAAGATTCTAAACAAAATATAAACACAGTAACAACATGGACAACATATGTTGAGAATCAGTGATATCAGGTGGGCAATTTCCAAATAAAATAGACAGTGACATCATGGAGAAATTTAAACAATAAAACTGTGGCATGAAGTGGGCATCATTTACTTATAAACCGATTACCATGATATAATTAGATTATGAGAATACAGTGACATTGTGTGGATAAATTCTAAGTGTAAACACAGGGATGTCATGAGGACAGATTCTAAATAAACAATCTGTAAAAACACTACAAGTTGTGTACAAATCCCTTTAACCATGATATCAGGTGAACACAATCTGAATATAATGATTTAATAAATAAGGGATAGGACAATCTGAATATAATGATTTAATAAATAAGGGATAGGACAATCTGAATATAATGATTTAATAAATAAGGGATAGGACAATCTGAATATAATGATTTAATAATTAAGGGATAGGACAATCTGAATAGAATGATTTAATAATTAAGGGATAGGACAATCTGAATATAATGATTTAATAATTAAGGGATAGGACAATCTGAATATAATGATTTAATAAATAAGGGATAGGACAATCTGAACATAATGATTTAATAAATAAGGGATAGGACAATCTGAACATAATGATTTAATAAATAAGGGATAGGACAATCTGAACATAATGATTTAATAAATAAGGGATAGGACAATCTGAATATAATGATTTAATAAATAAGGGATAGGACAATCTGAATATAATGATTTAATAAATAAGGGATAAGACAATCTGAATATAATGATTTAATAAATAAGGGATAAGACAATCTGAATATAATGATTTAATAAATAAGGGATAAGACAATCTGAATATAATGATTTAATAAATAAGGGATAAGACAATCTGAATATAATGATTTAATAAATAAGGGATAAGACAATCTGAATATAATGATTTAATAAATAAGGGATAAGACAATCTGAATATAATGATTTAATAAATAAGGGATAAGACAATCTGAATATAATGATTTAATAAATAAGGGATAAGACAATCTGAATATAATGATTTAATAAATAAGGGATAAGACAATCTGAATATAATGATTTAATAAATAAGGGATAAGACAATCTGAATATAATGATTTAATAAATAAGGGATAAGACAATCTGAATATAATGATTTAATAAATGGGGATAAGACAATCTGAATATAATGAGTTAATAAATGGGGATAGGACAATCTGAATATAATGATTTAATAAGTGGGGATGGGGCAATCTGAATATAATGATTTAATAAATGGGGATAGGACAATCTGAATATAATGATTTAATAAGTGGGGATAGGACAATCTGAATATAATGATTTAATAAATGGGGATGGGACAATCTGAATATAATGATTTAATAAATTGGGATGGGACAATCTGAATATAATGATTTAATAAATGGGGATGGGACAATCTGAATATAATGATTTAATAAATGGGGATGGGACAATCTGAATATAATGACTTAATAAATGGGGATAGGACAATCTGAATATAATGATTTAATAAATGGGGGATGCCCCAGGATGCAGACACTCCCACATGCACAAACAAACAAAGCTGACAGAGCTCCAGCAGAGACACAGCAGGTCCCTGTAGCTCAGGGAGGGCTGACCTGCTATGGACTCCAGCTCCCATGATGCTCAGCCACAGTGCTGCCCGTGTAATCCCAGCAGCCGGACAGAACTCACACTGTAAACACAGACACACCTCCAGGCCGCCCCCTCCCGGTCCTCGAGCTCTCCTCACAACAAGCCCGGGCTCACGCAGCGCAGGGCGGCAGGGTGCCTACCAGAGACCGGGGCTCGCTAGGCCGCGACGGGTAACTCTGCCCCCCGGTGGGCGCTAAGCGCGAAGCGTGCGCGGGGCCGCCATGTCCGGCTCTTCCCGCTGTGCAGGCCCCGAACACACAGTTCACACGGCCGCCATGTCCGCCGCGCACTGCACGATGGGAGCGGGGGCGGGGCCAGGGCTGCCACTGACAGGCAGAGGGGAGCAGGGGGCAAGTCGGGGGGGGACTCAGAGGGGTGTGCATGCCACTGCCTCCCCTAGCCCCCACTCATGGGCCAAAGAGGGGTGCATGCCACTGCCTCCCCTAGCCCCCACTCATGGGCCAAAGAGGGGTGCATGCCACTGCCTCCCCTAGCCCCCACTCATGGGCCAAAGAGGGGTGCATGCCACTACCTCCCCCAGCCCCCATTCCTGCATGCCACTGCCTCCCCTAAAACCCCACTCATGGTCAAAAGGTGGCCACTGTTTAACTCCTACCCATGGGCTCCTGCTGGTGTTATTAGAGGTGATAAGGGGGATGGATATGCTATTTGTCCACTAGCACCTTACTCCTACCCAATGGCTAAGTTTCCACAAGTTTCCAGATAACCCCACTACCAATAAGAGTTATGCCCTACCTACCCCCTCACCCCAATAATGAAGGGGACAATAAATACTTACCTACAGAAGTCTTTCTACTAAATTTTTTTTTTCAGCCCCTTAAAAAGTACTTCATTCTGGTGCTACTTTAAAAATCCCAAATTAAAATAAATAAATAACCCGACGAAGAAATAAAAACCACGACGCAAAACCACCACCCCCCTTAAAACTCATGTGAGCCCTTTCAGGGCTACCCACAGACTGAGCTTTCAACCTAAGGGAACCCTTTATAAAGGCTTTCCCACACTTTGAAATCGCTCTGATTGGTTAGATTGCAAAGAATTTTCCCACCTAATGAGAGATGAGACTTGCCTGTCAAAGCGCTCTGATTGGTTGGGCTACAAATGAATAACCTTGCCAAAATTGGCAGGTACGGAATCCAATAGGCAGCATAGTAAAAAAAAAAAAAAAAGGGGGATTATTCTCTAAAATCCAAATTCTAAGTTACAATTTTGAAGCTGTTGTTTGGCAGATTTGCTGCTAAATTCCCAAAGTTAAAAATGTTATTAAATGTGAATTATTAAAAGTTAATAACAAATTTCAGGCCTAAGTTTCATAACTAAAAGAACATTTGATACAGATGTTTTTCCAATTTGTGTATTGAGCTAAAATGTTAAATTCAGTTGGAATTCCTTATACTCTTAGTGAATAACCTGCTTGTCATCCAATCTCCAAATTTGCCTCAAATAGGAAACTCTCTCGATTGACCTGAATTGCTTTAAGAAGTCTCCCCATTATGTTGAGAAATGGATTCAGACTTTGCTCCAGTTTACCAAAGATGGATAGAAGTTGTATTATTGACACAGTTACCATGTTAACCAATTAAATGTAGCTGTTCATTCTGGAATGTGTCATTGCAATTGCAGTTTATAAAATTTTCAATATCCGCAAAGAATGATCATATAAGCAATACGCAGGCAAAAAATAAATCAACAGTTAGTCTATGAGCAGCACTGATTGGGAGCCCTATGACACTCTGGCTAGCTCATAATTCTGGGTGCAGACACCTCCATAGTCAAACAGGCTTTTCCATAGAAAAATGGCTAAAAGTGTACCTGTCATGGAACACACAGCACTCTGTTAAAGAATAGAGGAGACAATTAATTTTGAACATTACATATCAATCAAGAGCTGTACTAGCACCATGGCTATGGGCGGCAATAACTGAGTTACGTGCTAGAGCAGGAGAACCCTCTATAGCAGTGGTTCCCAACCCAGTCCTTAAGTATCCCCTAAGAGTCCTGGTTTTAAAGATTACCCATTTGTATGTAAGGTGTCTTTAGAAAAAGAAAAAAAATACACTTCAGTCACAACAGGGTAATCCCTAAGTCCTAGACTGATGGGGGTACTTGAGAACTGGGTTGTGAATCCCTGCTCTATAGCTCTTTCTCCACCTCTCTGTCTCGTGCAGCCAGATCCATCATGTTTGCCTTCACAAATATCACTTATACATGTTGATGGGCAACACATGAAAAGTGCTGCCCTGCAGAATACATAATTCATGACTGGATTTCCCAATTTGAATTCTACAAACAGCACTATTCTTTTTCTCCCTACATTATGGAAATATGAATGGGGGACCAAGTTTGTGTGGGGCCAGCCTATTAACAGTGTATATCTGTGCAAAATCAGGACTGTTCTTATGAATGTAGGATGGTCGGGTGGTATGTTGCACATAAAAATGAATACATTTAATTCGATGTATCCAGGAAAACATAGAGGATCTGGCAACCCTATTTCTGTCACATCAATTTCAGCACATATATAGTAGTTACTGTACTAATAACAGTTTAAAGGGACACTATAGTCACCAGAACAACTACAGCTTAATGTAGTTGTTCTGGTGAGTATAGAATGTCCCTGCAGGCATTTTAATGTAAACACTAACCTTTCATAGAAAATGCAGTGTTTACATTGCTGCCTAGGGACATCTCCAATGGCAGTCACTCAGACAGCCACTAGAGGTGCTTTCTGGGTCAGTGCTGCACAACATGAAGTGCTGCATGGAGGCACTGAACTTTACCTGTTGACATGCAGTGATTCAATGCATCTCTATGAGGAGATGCAGATTGGCGCAGTGCTCTGCATGCGCAATAGCCTCTGAATACTTTCCTTTAGGAGAGCATTACATTTGATAAGATCATCAATTCTGATGATCTCAGCCAAGGAGGCAAGGCTGGGGCAGAACCAGCGCATTACTGGAATAAAGGTGAGTTTATTACTCTTTTAAGGTGTAGCAAGGAGTGGGGGGGGGTGAGGGGGGGGAACTAAATAGTGTTTTTAACATTACTGTATTCCTCACATTATAGTGTTCCTTTAACAATATATTTGGAGCACTGGGGTAGAAGGACAGTATAGTGTAAGGAATACAGTTTTGTATTTCTAACACTATAGTGTTCCTTTAAATTACAATAAATTTGTTTAGAAATCAGTCTGCTTAAATAAGATACATTGTTCTTGTTCTAAATTAAAGGGACACTAAAGTCACCAGAACAACTACAGCCTATTGAATTTGTTCTGGTGAGTAGAATCATTACCTTCAGGCTTTTTGCTGTAAACACTGTCTTTTCAGAGAAAATGCAGTGTTTACATTACAGCCTAGTGATAACTTCACTGGCCACTCCTCAGATGGCTGTTACAGATCCTTCCTGGGTCATGGCTGCCTAAAATGCATCCAAACATTTAGTGTCTCCTCCCTCTGCATGCAGACACTGAACTTTCCTCATAGAGATTCATTGATTCAATTCATCTCTATGAGGAGATGCTGATTGGCCAGGACTGTGTTTGAATCATGCTGGCTCTGCCCCTGATCTGCCTCTATGTCAGTCTCAGCATTGTGATTGGATCATGCTACCACTTCTGATGATGTCAGCAGACTGCTTGTTTTTTTTTTTGAGGCAAACAGCATGCAGAGTTACAACTTCTGGCTTGAATACAGTAAGATTTTTCTATATTTATGGAGGCATGAGGGGCCCAGGGGCTAGATGGTGGTTTTAACACTATAGGGTCAGGAATACATGTTTGTGTTCCTGGCCCTATTGTGATCCTTTTAAGGCTGCAATGACTCCGGTTACTCCTTCCTGGATAAGTATCAAAGGATAAACAAAAAAGATTTCCAGCACTCCTTATTGTGAAAAGATGATATAAGGGCCCTCTTTCTACATGAGCATGCTGGACAGTTAACTGGGGCCCCACAAGCATAGGGGCCCCAAGCGATGCCCATGAGATGAGACAGACAGGATCTGTTCATCTCCCCTGCCGGCCCATGCAGACCAGGCCTCGATGTCATTCTTCTCGGGCCGGTGGGGAGATCAAATATTCCTCTCAATGGCCTCCAGGCAGTTCGCTGCTGCAGAAGAAGGGAGGAAGGACCCCGGAGGCTTTGTATTCTCTCCACGAGTAGGCAGGTCAGAGCATTGCCGAGGGTTATCATGGCAACGAACACTGCACCCCTCACACACACATTGTACCTCTCACACACTACACCACTACACGTGCACACACATACTGCACCCTTCACACGTATAATGCACCCATCACACACATTGCACATCTAACACACACACTGAACCCCTACACACACACACACACACACACACAGTACCACTACACACACTGAATCCCTACTCACACAGTGCAGTCTGTATGTATGTGTGTGTATTCAGCAGTCTGTGTGTGTGTGTGTGTGTAGCTGTCTTTCTGTGTGTATTTAGCAGTCTGTGTATTTATTCAACAGTCTGTGTGTATTCAGTAGTCTGTGTATATTCAGCAATCTGTCTGTGAATGTATTCAGCAGTCTGTGTGTGTGTATTGTATGCGTATTGTATTTCTGAAAAAGCAATAAATATAAGCTTAATTTTATTGATAATTTCTGTTTTTATTCCTGTGATGGTTGTGTAGGCAGGACCCCTGCACTGCTTTTCTTGGGGGCCTATTATGCATTTAAGACAGCCCTGTTTAGGGAATAGGGGGTTTATTTTTCAGCACTATTAAAAACAAATCTGTCAATTATTCTCTTTTTTTTGTGTGGTTATTTTACCAAACTGCCATGCTTCATTGTATGTGGATTTACAATCTTTCCGTCATGATTTCTGCCAGACATATGTTGTGTTGCACTTTTCTTTTTTCCACCACTTTACATTTGGTGGTGTAATCAGAAAATGGCTGTTTTTGCAATAAATGGCACACTATATACAAAGCAAACTTAGCATTTTTTAGACAATATTTTTATAAAATAAAAACAGATTAGAAAGTAAGAACAAAAGGCCCCTTTTAGAACACTTTGTGATATATCTCCCCCATTGTGTGACTTGATAAGTCTCCATTAAGAATAAGTGAATTTAGAAAAAACATGTCAGATTTGGCAACCTTATGACATAATTCAGTTGCCCTAGCATATGGCACACCATGTGCTGTACACACAATATTTTGAAAAATGCCCAGTAGATTGGGGTAACAAACACCTTAAAAACCTTTGGAGTACTATAAAGGGTACAAAACCAATCATACATAGGTAAAGTAGGACATCAAGTGGACACAGTGTGCCTTGCAGTTTACTGTAAGCTGTTTATGTGTTCTGCCTAGAGAAGTTGGCACTGTATAAAAAAAATCAGAGATTTGCATACTTTGTATGGGTTATTAACTGAAGTTAGAATTGTGGTGAATTCAAAATTGTAGGTCAAAATAGCCAAATTGGAAGGCTCGAGTTTTTTTTTTTATTATTATTATTATTAATTATATATATATATTTATTTTAAAAATTCTGCGATTTTGGCTTAACATTTGAAATACAATAGGTAGGTGGTCTAACATACAGTACATGTATTTGAAACAGGAGGAGTTGGAAGCAGAGGGACAGACAGTGTTGAGAAGCCCTGCTCGAACGAGTTTACAATTCACACGGTAGTAAATAACTGCTTCAGCTTATTCATAATAAACCGAATTGCAGTAAATTACAAACTGATTTGAAAAATGATATAGAGCTGATCTGAAAGAATTCAGCCATAGCCCATCCCAGCATGATCTCTTGTATACTGCAAGTGTTACACAGAATATGAGCAGGGCAGTTTGATACCCAGCTAGTACTGCAGTTTGGAATGTGGAAGCAATAAGACAACCGCTGACTGGACTGCAACTCATAATATGCTTAGCCAGCGCAGAACTCTCTCATTGTCTGCCTGTTACTGATTGCAGTTACCTAAGGCTGGCTGGTTGTATATGGATTGGTATCTGGATCTGGATGGAATACCAGCTGTGATTTTCTTTGAGTGCAAGGATTAAGCCAAAATGCTGACTGGGCGAGATTGGAGTCGCAGTCCTTATTAGGTTAAATGCACAGATAGCTGTTTCTCATTATATTAAGGACTTTGTTACAGCCTGTGTGCAGAAGGAGTTAAAGGGTTACTGCCATTGCCCCTCCCAGTAGTGGGGAAGGCTCTTTTGCAGCAGTGGTCCTGTGCTTTGCTGCAGCCCCAGGAGTAGTTCGTACTGTACCATGTTCCCAGCGGTGCTGATGCTCTTGCTCTCCTTATTGCCCCCGTCCCTACAGAAGGACAGGGACTTTTACACCTTCAAACTGGTCAATATAAGGGGCAAACTGGTCTCCCTGGAGAAATACCGGGGCTCGGTGAGTGCTGCTCCCCCTAACTAATGCCCTTACCTGGCACTCCTGCAAAGGCCACTAACCTTAGCCAGTCTATCCTATTGCTTTTTTTCTTCTAGATCTTCATTCCTCGGGGCACAGATCCTTAATTTTGTCTGAGCCCAGACCCTAAAATGGGCGAACCTTAACCCTGCACCTATTGTGGATCACCATTACCATCATGCTAAATAAGTAAAAGCATGATGGGAGTTACAGTCCATAGCAGTACGTAATGCCACTTGTATTCATTCTATCCAAATCCACGAGGAGTTAGTATGTATGATAGGGTGTAGATTGGAATGAAGACAAAGCTAACACACAATGTATTAGGGATCTCAGCTGGTATAAAAACTGCCCCATTCAGGCCTTTAAGAATTAAGTGCATGTCTATATTTATTTTAATAAAAAGTGTTTTTAATCTCCCCTCCCACCCCCTGCTTACAAGGGGGCTGTAGACGTGGCATGTTGGAAGTTCTGTGTTACATTGTGTCTGTCTGTAATTACTGCCACAATCTCCCCCAGTCACATGCACATAACTCCCCAGGGCTTATTACCTATCAAAAGGTGATAATTGTTTTCCATTTTTTTTTCTTTCTAATATCATATGTTGCATTAAATTATAATGGAAAATCTGCGTAGCAGTTTAATCCACAAACTACTTTAAAAATCAGTTCATCTACTGTTAACTTTACAATGAAGTTTTAATGCATTCTTTTTCAATCAAGTTTAATATATGTATTACAATGGGAGTATGTATTCATTATTCAAGGAGATTATCATTTCAGCTATAAAAAGTGGCAAGGCAAAAATGCTAATTTATCCAGAAATAGGAAACTCTCTGGTCAGTTATTTCTTCATCTCTATGGTTAGTAACTAACCCCACTCATTTTTATTTTCAAAGCTGAAATATTAGATTTTTCTAAACATTTTCAAGCCAAACACACCAGAAATAATTTCTTTACAAGTAAGGTAATCTTACTATAGATGATTATGCTGCCAATTAGCATCATCGATTGTAATTTACCCTTCTACCATCTACCAATTTTTAGAACTAGTGTCAGTGTTTTTGTTACTGTAATATGTTTTCATTCATATCTTTACAGAAAATGTTTTATTAATAATTAAATGAAAAAGCTATATAACTGTTATAGTTAAACTATTCCATTAAGGCTTCACTCCGATAGTCTGGCTCACAATCAATGTGCTTTGTGTCGTATGACACTTTATCACAATGATAGAAACGCGTTGATTGTGAGCAACACTGTCGTAAGATAAAATCATTTTTTGAACAGCCAAGAACGAGCAGTGCTGTAAGCACCGCGGTAACTATTATTTCCTAATGCCCAAGCCATACAACCCTCACATTGCAGCCATAGACACACACACTAATAAGTGCACACATACACGCACTAATGCACAAACACATACACACCTTGATACGCATACATGCATCCACACACAAACACAGTGATGCACAGTTTGCAAAAAACACACAAGTAATAGTATGGCGCTAAAACAATTGTTACCCTTCAATAATAAATATACGATAAGCAGCACTATATGTTGTGAAAAAGCTCCAATCACATATAACCATATAAATCCAAAGATAAAGTGCACTGTGATGCACAGTGACACACACATTGAAAATACAAATATACATTCACAATCTTTATCTGGCTGTGTGTATTTCTGTGTGTGGCATTGTGTACCCGATTATGGGACAGAGAGTGTGTGTCTGACAGGGAGTATGCTTGTGTGTGAATGTATGTCTCTGTGAGCATATTATTATGTATGTTTGTGTCTGGGACCGTGTGTGTGGGGTAGCTGCTTGCAGTGTGTTGTGTGTATGACCTATGTTACACCTCGTATTACGTGTATTTTGATATCTATCTATCTATCTATCCATCCATCCATCCATCCATCCCTGGTGTGCAGATCTGTGATTAACAATGTATTGACTATCCATTGACTTCAGGTGGAAGGGGTTTCCAATCACTTTTTTCCCCATTATAACTTTCTAGGTTTGTACCCCAAGCCTCAATAGCAAGCCAGTAACCATGCTGATGAGTTGCATTAAAGGGACACTCCAGGCACCCAGACCACTTCTGCCCATTGGAGTGGTCTGGGTTCCAACTCCCACTACCCTTAACCCTGCAAGTGTAATTATTGCAGTTTTCATAAACTGCATTTTTTTTCCTTGCAGGGTTAAGTCCTCCTCTACTAGACAGCTACTAGAGGAGACTTCCGTGTTCAAAGAACACTAAAAAGGGCTTTAAAACTACGCTGGACATCCTCACATTATGTGAGGACCTCCAGCGTCGCCGAAATCCCCATAGGAATTAGGTCTCACCCGCCAGCTGATGTCGGCGGGGGAGGAGCATAGGCGGAGCCTGTCCCAGTGACCCACTGGCTGACCCGGCGCTGGACTCCGGTAAGTCACTGAAGGGGTATTAACCCCTTCAGCAACTTGGGATGGGGGGTGGGATATGTTTTCCTGGCACTGGAGAATCCCTTTAACAAGAACAGCAAACCAATCTGGAAAATTTCAATGTGTAAAAATTGAAAAATGGAAAGTCCTATATTTAACCCGTAACTCGGCAACTTACTTTTGCAGAGCCCAGGAAAGAAAAATCGTTTTTTGGCGTTTTTCACACACAATGTGCTCCTTCCTGATGATATCATTGTCATGATACCATTTACTGTTTTAAAACACTCATATTTGTGTTCAGCAAAGTCTCCTGAGTTCAACACTACCCCCCTTGGCCAGGTTTTATGGTGCTTTGGAAAGGGTTAAATATAGGGCTTGCAAATTAAATTCTCTGGACTTTCTGCCTGGGTTTTCAGGTAGGCGACATGAGTGCAGATAAGCCACAGGTTTGATAGAACATATACACCATTCTTACAGGGTTGTAAATATCATGTGAAGATCACAGAGTGAGGGGGGAGAGAGAGGGAAAAAAACAAGCAAACAGTGCAGAAGATGGTGCTACAAGGGGAGAGTGAAAAAATAATTACTTAATTAATAATGCATGAATTCACATCCAAGAGTTCGAGAATATGCATGAAGGCCTATATACAACATACACATATTCACAGACACACACACAGATGCACATATACACACACACAAGTAGTGTATATGTACAAATATACACAAGTTAAAATACATTATACACAGGTACATACAATGATATACGGATAAATACAACCAAATTTGTGCATTTCGTTGTATGTATATCTGCAGTGTTAAAGCCCCACATTTTTCAGGAAGACATAGCACGCACAATGTCCCTAAGGGGTTAATTGTGGTTTTGAACTCCAAATAACTACAAGAAGTATATACTTTTTTAAAGAAGACGTACCATGATTTTCAAAGGGGCATATTTAAAACTTTCCTTTTTTTTGTGTACATTTTTATTTTTGATGTGCATGAAAACATTGCACACCAACTATATCAATTTAACAAAATCCGCCTACACAGAGACATTAGAAGTGTTCAACCCTTGCAGGGCTGTGAGAAAGACATAACTAGTGGAACAAGTAAAAAAGCATCCAACTGCACTTTTTTTATAGAAGACAAACATGTAAAGCAAGGTTACATACCACACAAGATATTAGTAAGCACATATTAAGTATAGCGCTTATATCATGCTAGCGACCTCTACACATCAGGCTAGTCCAGTGCGTTATACAGATATGTTTGAATGATATGCTAGGTATACTCACTAAGTACAAACTTTTAAGCTAGCCACGTCCGGGTAACCTGAGAGATTTTAGTGGTATGTATGTAGAGTTACGGTGCTATTCATCTGAACAAAATTAGATTATTAGATAACAGGCTGCATGAAAATAGTTTAGATTGTTTAACCACTGGGCACCATCACACAGAAAGGCGAATAAAAAAGAAAATTATAAAAAAAGAGTAAACCAATCTCTACAGTGTTCATATATATACTGCGTTTTAGCGTATGATTTACCAATGCCACAGTTAGGCCTTTCCAGACAGTCCATCTCCATGCTGGGTTCGTCTCCAGCCCTCGTTCCCTTTGGGCATTTCAAAGATCGTTGGGTTATCTGCTGTCTAATGAGGCCCACCCTGGAGCAACTCAACCTTAATGGGACCCAGAGCCCCATGTCCAAGGATCCACTTTCTCTGTGTGGCAGGATCGTAGGCCCGTGGGAGCTCTGTGATCCTGGAACCCCTCTGGGTATTTGGACGGCAGCTGGATATGACTCCAGTTGAATCCCTAGCCCAGAGGAAGACCGAGGAGTCACAGCAGCTACCGATTCTCTGGAATGGCAGAGAAGGTAGGGTGGCTTTGTAAGTGGGGCTACAAAACTTGGCAGATCCCAGTACTTTTAGCTTAGAGGTTTTCTTGCCATGTCAGGCCCTCTTGGCTGGCGTAGTTTTGCCAAGGTTCCAGTGTTGCAGCCATCTTAGGTGGCTTTATAGGCAAGAACAAAACCCGAGAAGTGTGCCAGTATCGGTGCCCCTCATGGCTCGTCTGCCAGTATATCGAACTCTCATGGCTGCTGTGCCAGTATGTGTGTCTCTCATGGATAGTCTCTGATTATCAGTGCCTCTCATAGCTGGTCTGTCAGTATCTGTGTCTCTGATGGACGATCTGACAGTACCTCTGCCTGTCATTTGTGATCTTGAAGTTTCTGTGCCGGCTGCTCCGTCAGTACCTCTGCTCCTCAGGGGCAGTCTTCTAGTATCTGTGCCCCTCATGGTTGTTCTGTAACTATGTCTGCAAATCATGTCGCCTATGAAGGTGCTTCTGCCTCTCAAGACCGCTCTGACAGTATTTCTGACTCTCATGGAATCTGTGCCTCTTATGGTTGAACTGCCAGTATCTGTGGCCCTCACGGCTTGTCTGTCAGTACGTCTGCTCCTTGTGGCTGCTCTGACAGTATGTCTGCCTTTCATGGCTGCTCTGTCAGTATGTCTGACCCTCATGGTCGTTCTGTCATTATTTCTGCCTTTCATAGCTCTGTGACTATGTCTGCACATCATGTTCTCACTGTCTGTATATCTGCCCCTCATGGTTGGTCTGTAGGTATTCCTGCCTCTCAGGGCTGCTCTGACAGTATTTCTGCCTCTCATGGAAGCTCTGAGGGTATCTGTACCTTTCATGGCCGCTCTGTCAGTATCTGTACCTCTCATGGTCGCTCTGTCAGTATCTGTGTCTTCCATGGCCACTCTGTAAGTATCTCTGTCCTCCATGGCCCCTCTGTCAGTTTCTGTGTCTCTCATGGCTGCTCTGTCAGTATCTGTGTCTCTCATGGCCGCTATGTCAGTATCTGTGTCTCTCATGGCCGCTATGTCAGCATCCGTATTTCCCACGCCGCTGTGTCAGTATCTGTGTCTTCCATGGCCGCTGTGTCAGTATCTGTTTCTCTCATGGCCACTCTGTCAGTATCTTCCATGGCCGCTCTGTCAGTATCTTCCATGGCCGCTCTGTCAGTCTCTGTCTCTATCATGGCTGCTCTGTCAGTATCTGTACCTCTCATGGCCGCTATGTCATTATCTGTATCTCTCATGGCCACTATGTCAGTATCTGTATTTCCTACGCCACTGTCTCAGTATCTGTGTCTTCCATGGCCGCTGTGTCAGTTTCTGTTCCTCTCATGGCCACTCTGTCAGTATCTGAATCTTTCATGACCATTCTGTCAGTATCTGTGTCTTCCATGGCCACTCTGTCAGTATCTGTGTCTCTCATGGCCATTCTGTCAGTATCTGTATCTTCCATGGCCGCTCTGTCAGTCTCTGTCTCTATCATGGTCGCTCTGTCAGTATCTGTGTCTCTCATGGCCGCTCTGTCAGTATCTGTCTCTGTCATGGCCGTTCTGTCAGTATCTGTGTCTTCCATGGCCGCTCTGTCAGTATCTGTATCTGTCATGGCCGCTCTGTCAGTATCTGTATCTCCCACGGCCGCTTTGTCAGTATCGGTGTCTCTCAAGGCCGCTCTGTCAGTATCTTTATCTCTCATGACCGCACTATCAGTATCTGTATCTCTCATGGCTGTTGTGTCAGTATCTGTGTCTTGCATGGATGCTCTGTAAGTATCTGTCTCTTCCATGGCCACTCTGTCAGTATCTGTATCTCTCTTCACCGGTTTGTCAGTATCTGTATCTTCCATGGCCGCTCTGTCAGTATCTGTATCTATCATCACCGCTCTGTCAGTATCTGTATCTTCCATGGCCGCTCTGTCAGTATCTGTATCTCTCATGGCTGCTCTGTCAGTATCTGTATCTTCCATGGCCGCTCTGTCAGTATCTGTATCTCTCATGGCCGCTCTGTCAGTATCTGTAGCTTCCATGACCGCTGTCTCAGTATCTGTGTCTCCGATGGACGATCTGACAGTACCTCTGCCCCTCATTGGTGGTTTTGAAGTTTCTGTGGATCTCATGGCTGCTCTGTCAGTACCTCTTAGGGACAGTCTTCTAGTATCTGTGCCCGTCATGGCCGTTCTGTAACTATGTCTGCAAATCATCTCGACTATGAAGGTACTCTTGCCTCTCAAGACCGCTCTGACAGTATTTCTGCCTCTCATGGAATCTGTGCCTCTTATGGTTGAACTGCCAGTATCTGTGGCCCTCATGGCCTGTCTGTCAGTATGTCTGACCCTCATGGTCGTTCTGTCATTATTTCTGCCTCTCATGGCCGCCCTGTGATTATGTCTGCACATCATGTTCTCACTGTCTGTATTTCTGCCCCTCATGGCCGCTCTGACAGTATGTTTGCCTTTCATAGCTGCTCTGTCAGTATGTCTGACCCACATGGTCGTTCTATCAATATTTCTGCCTCTCATGGCCCCCTGTGACTATGACTGCCCATCATGGCTGGTATGTAGGTATTTCTGCCTCTCAAAGCCACTCTAATAGTATTTCTGCCTCTCATGGAAGGTCTGAGAGTATCTGTATCTTCCATGACCGCGGTCTCAGTATCTGTGTCTCCGATGGACGATCTGACAGTACCTCTGGCCCTCATTGGTGGTTTTGAAGTTTCTGTGGATCTCATGGCTGCTCTGTCAGTACCTCTGCCCCTCAGGGCCAGTCTTCTAGTATCTGTGCCCCATCATAGCCTTTCTGTGACTATGTCTGCATATCATGTTGACTATGAAGGTACTTCAGTATCTGTATCTCCCACGGCCGCTTTGTCAGTATCTTTATCTCTCATGACCGCTCTATCAGTATCTTTATCTCTCATGGCTGTTGTGTCAGTATCTGTGTCTTCCACGGCCGCTCTGTCAGTATCTGTGTCTTCCATGGCCGCTCTGTCAGTATCTGTCTCTTCCATGGCCGCTCTGTCAGTATCTGTATCTCTCATCACCACTTTGTCAGTATCTGTATCTTCCATGGATGCTCTGTCAGTACCTCTGCCACTCATGGCCAGTCTTCTAGTATCTGTGATCGTCAAGGCCGTTCTGTGACTATGTCTACATATCATGTTATCTATGAAGGTACTTCTACCTCTCAAGACCGCTCTGACAGTATTTCTGCTGCTCATGGAATCTGTGCCTCCTATGATTGTACTGTCAGTATCTGTGGCCCTCATGGCCTGTCTGTCAGTATGTATGACCCTCATGGTCGTTCTGTCATTATTTCTGCCTCTCATGGCCGCCCTGTGACTATGTCTGCACATCATGTTCTCACTGTCTGTATTTCTGCCCCTCATGGCTGGTCTGTAGGTATTTCTGCCTATCAAGGCCGCTCTGACAGTATTTCTGCCTCTCACGGAAGGTCTGAGAGTATCTGTATCTTCTATGGCCACTGTGTCAGTATCTGTATCTTCCATGGCTGCTCTGTCAGTATCTGTACCTCTCATGGCCGCTATGTCATTATCTGTATCTCTCATGGCCACTATGTCAGTATCTGCGTCTTTCGTGGCCACTGTGTCAGTATCTGTTCCTCTCATGGAATCTGTGCCTCTTATGGTTGAACTGCCAGTATCTGTGGCCCTCATAGCCTGTCTGTCAGTACGTCTGCCCCTCGTGGCCGCTCTGACAGTATGTTTGCCTTTCATAGCTGCTCTGTCAGTATGTCTGACCCACATGGTCATTCTATCAATATTTCTGCCACTCATGGCCGCCCTGTGACTATGTCTGCCCATCATGGCTAGTCTGTAGGTATTTCTGCCTCTCAAGGCCACTCTAATAGTATTTCTGCCTCTCATGGAAAGTCTGAGAGTATCTGTATCTTCCATGGCCGCTCTGTCAGTATCTGTGTCTCCGATGGACGATCTCACAGTACCTCTGGTCCTTATTGGTGGTTTTGAAGTTTCTGTGGATCTCATGGCTGCTCTGTCAGTACTTCTGCCCCTCAGGGCCAGTCTTCTAGTATCTGTGCCCGTCATAGCCGTTCTGTGACTATGTCTGCATATCATGTTGACTATGAAGGTACTTCAGTATCTGTATCTCCCACGGCCGCTTTGTCAGTATCGGTGTCTCTCGTGGCCGCTCTGTCAGTATCTTTCTCTCTCATGACCGCTCTATCAGTATCTGTATCTTTTATGGCTGTTGTTTCAGTATCTGTGTCTTCCACGGCCGCTGTGTCAGTATCTGTGTCTTCCATGGCCGCTCTGTCAGTATCTGTCTTTTCCATGGATGCTCTGTCAGTACCTCTGCCCCTCATGGCCAGTCTTCTAGTATCTGTGCCCGTCAAGGCCGTTTTGTGACTATGTCGGCATTTCATGTCGTCTATGAAGGTACTTTTACCTCTCAAGATTGCTCTGACAGTATTTCTGCCTCTCATGGAAGCTGTGCCTCCTATGGTTGTACTGCCAGTATCTGTGGCCCTCATGGCCTGTCTGTCAGTATGTATGACCCTCATGGTCGTTCTGTCATTATTTCTGCCTCTCATGGCCGACTTGTGACTATGGCTGCACATAATGTTCTCACTGTCTGTATTTCTGCCCCTCATGGCTGGTCTGTAGGTATTTCTGCCTATCAAGGCTGCTCTGACAGTATTTCTGCCTCTCACGGTATCTGTATCTTTCATGGCCGCTCTGTCAGTATCTGTACCTCTCATGGCTGCTCTGTCAGTATCTGTACCTCTCATGGCCGCTGTGTCAGTATCTGTATCTTCCATGGCCGCTGTGTCAGTATCTGTATCTTCCATGGCTGCTCTGTCAGTATCTGTACCTCTCATGGCCGCTATGTCAGTATCTGTATCTCTCATGGCCACTATGTCAGTATCTGCGTCTTTCGTGGCCACTGTGTCAGTATCTGTTCCTCTCATGGCCGCTCTGTCAGTATCTGTATCTTTCATGTCGGGTCTGTCAGTATCTGTATCTCCCACGGCTGCTCTGTCAGTATCTGTGTCTTTCATGGCCGCTCTGTCAATATCTGTGTCTCTCATGGCCGATCTGTCAGTATCGGTATCTTCCATGTCGGTTCTGTCAGTATTTGTGTCTTCCATGGCCGCTCTGTCAGTATCTGTCTCTGTCATGGCGTCTTCCATGGCCGCTCTGTCAGTATCTGTGTCTTTCATGGCCGCTCTGTCATTATCTGTATCTCTCATGGCCACTATGTCAGTATCTGCGTCTTTTATGGCCGCTGTGTCAGTATCTGTTCCTTTCATGGCTGCTCTGTCAGTATCTGTACCTCTCATTGCCGCTGTGTCAGTATCTGTACCTCTTGTGGTTGCTCTGTCACTATCTTCTATGGCCGCTCTGTCAATATCTGTGTCTTCCATGGCCGCTCTGTCAGTATCTGTATCTTCCATGGCCGCTCTGTCAGTATCTGTGTCTCTCATGGCCGCTCTGTTAGTATCTGTCTCTGTCATGGCCGCTCTGTCAGTATGTGTGTCTTCCATGGCCGCTCTGTCAGTATCTGTATCTTCCATGGCCTCTCTGTCAGTATCTGTATCTCCTACAGCCGATTTGTCAGTATCTGTATCTCTCATGGCCGCTCTGTCAGTATCTGTATCTCCTACAGCCGATTTGTCAGTAACTGTGTCTCTCATGGCCGCTCTGTCAGTATCTGTATCTCTCGTGACAGCTTTGTCAGTATCTGTATCTCTTATGGCTGCTCTGTCACTATCTGTATCTTCCATGGCCGCTCTGTCAGTATCTGTATCTATCATCACTGCTCTGTCAGTATCTGTATCTTCCATGGCCGCTCTGTCAGTATCTGTATCTATCATCACCGCTCTGTCAGTATCTGTATCTTCCATGGCCGCTCTGTCAGTATCTGTATCTCTCATGGCCGCTCTGTCAGTATCTGTAGCTTCCATGACCGCGGTCTCAGTATCTGTGTCTCCGATGGACGATCTGACAGTACCTCTGCCCCTCATTGGTGGTTTTGAAGTTTCTTTGGATCTCATGGCTGCTCTGTCAGTACCTCTGCGCCTTATGGCCAGTCTTCTAGTATCTGTGCCCGTCATGGCCGTTCTGTGACTATGTCTGCATATCATGTCGTCTATGAAGATACTTCTGCCTCTCAAGACCGCTCTGACAGTATTTCTGCCTCTCATGGAATCTGTGCCTCTTATGGTTGAACTGCCAGTATCTGTGGCCCTCATGGCCTGTCTGTCAGTACGTCTGCCCCTCGTGGCCGCTCTGACAGTATGTCTGCCTTTCATGGCTGCTCTGTCAGTATGTCTGACCCACATGGTTGTTCTATCAATATTTCTGCCTCTCATGGCCGCCCTGTGACTATGTCTGCACATCATGGCTGGTCTGTAGGTATTTCTGCCTCTCATGGAAGGTCTGAGAGTATCTGTATCTTCCATGGCCGCTCTGTCAGTATCTGTGTCTCTCATTGCCGCTTTGTCAGTATCTGTGTCTCCGATGGATGATCTGACAGCCCTCATTGGTGGTTTTGAAGTTTCTGTGGATCTCATGGCTGCTCTGTCAGTACCTCTGCCCCTCAGGGCCAGTCTTCTAGTATCTGTGCCCATCATGGCCGTTCTGTGACTATGTCTGCACATCATGTTGACTATGAAGATACTTCTGCCTCTCATGGAATCTGTGCCTCTTATGGTTGAACTGCCAGTATCTGTGGCCCTCATGGCCTGTCTATCAGTACGTCTGCCCCTCGTGGCCGCTCTGACTGTATGTCTGCGTTTCATGGCTGCTCTGCCAGTATCTGTACCTCTCATGGCCGCTCTGTCAGTATTTGTATCTTCCATGGCTGCTCTGCCAGTATCTGTGTCCTTAAAGGCCACTATGTCAGTATCTGCATCTTTCATGGCCGCTGTGTCAGTATCTGTTCCTCTCATGGCTGCTCTGTCAGTATCTGTATCTTCCATGTTGGGTCTGTCAGTATCTGTATCTCCCACGGCCGCTCTGTCAGTATCTGAGTCTTCCATGGCCACTCTGTCAATATCTGTGTCTCTCATGGCCGCTATGTCAGTATCTGTATCTCTCGTGGCCGCTCTGTCAGTATCTGTGTCTTCCATGGCTGCTCTGTCAAAATCTGTGTCTCTCATGGCCGCTATGTCAGTATCTGTATCTCTCATGGCCACTCTGTCAATATCTGTGTCTTTCATGGCCACTGTGTCAGTACCTGTTCCTCTCATGGCCGTTCTGCCAGTATCTGTATCTTCCATGGCGGATCTGTCAGTACCTGTATCTCCCACACCCGCTCTGTCAGTATCTGTCTCAGTCATAGCGGCTCTGTCAGTAACTGTCTCTGTAATGCCCTCTCTGTCAGTATCTGTATCTCCCACATCCACTCTGTCAATATTTGTGTCTCTCATGGCCGCTGTGTTAGTATCTGTGTCTCTCATAGCCGCTCTGTCAGTATCTGTATCTTCCATGGCTTCTCTGTCAGTATCTGTATCTCTCATGGCCGCTCTGTCAGTATCTGTGTCTTCCATGGTCGCTCTGTCAGTATCTGTATCTCTCATGGCTGATCTGTCAGTATCTGTTCGTCTCATGGCCGCTGTGTCAGTATCTGTGTCTCTCATGGCCACTCTGTCGGTATCTGTTCCTCTCATGGCCGCTGTGTCAGTAACTGTATCTTCCATGGCCGCTGTGTCAGTATCTGTATCTCTCATGGCCGCTCTGTCAGTATCTGTGTCTTCCATGGTCGCTCTATCAGTATCTGTTTCTCTCATGGCCGCTCTGTCAGTATCTGTGTCTTCCATGGTCGCTCTGTCAGTATCTGTATCTCTCATGGCTGCTCTGTCAGTATCTGTTCGTCTCATGGCCGCTGTGTCAGTATCTGTGTCTCTCATGGCCACTCTGTCGGTATCTGTTCCTCTCATGGCCACTGTGTCAGTAACTGTATCTTCCATGGCCGGTCTGTCAATATCTGTATCTCTCATGTCCGCTTTGTCAGTATCTGTGTCTTCCATGGCCGCTCTGTCAGTATCTCTATCTTTCATGTCCGCTCTGTCAGTATCTGTGTCTTCCATGGCCACTCTGTCAGTATCTCTATCTCTCATGTCCGCTCTGTCAGTATCTGTGTCTTCCATGGCCACTCTGTCAGTATCTGTGTCTTCCATGGCAGCTGTGTCATTATCTGTGTCTTCCATGGCCGCTCTGCCAGTATCTGTCTCTTCCATGGCCGCTCTGTTAGTATCTGTATCTCTCATCACCACTCTGTCAGTATCTGTATCTTGCATGGCTGCTCTGTCAGTACCTCTGCTCCTCAGGGCCAGTCTTCTAGTATCTGTGCCCGTCAAGGCCGTTCTGTGACTATGTCTGCATATCGTGTCATCTATGAAGTTACTTCTGCCTCTAAAGTCCGCTCTGACAGTATTTCTGCCTCTCATGGAATCTGTGCCTCTTATGGTTGAACTGCCAGTATCTGTGGCCCTCATGGCCGCTCTGACAGTATGCCTGACCCTCATGGTCACTCGGTCATTATTTGTGCCTTTCATGGCCGCCCTGTGACTATGTCTGCACATTATGTTCTCACTGTCTGTATTTCTGCCCCTCATGGCTGGTCTGTAGGTATTTCTGCCTATCAAGGCCGCTCTGAAAGTACTTCTGCCTCTCACGGAAGGTCTGAGAGTATCTGTATCTTTCAAGGCCGCTCTGTCAGTATCTGTACCTCTCATGGCCGCTATGTCAGTATCTGTATTTCTCATGGCCACTATGTCAGTATCTGCGTCTTTCATGGCCGCTCTGTCAATATCTGTGTCTCTCATGGCCGCTCTGTCAGTATCTGTGTCTCTCATGGCCGCTATGTCAGTATCTGTTCCTCTCATGGCCGCTCTGTCAGTATCTGTGTCTTCCATGGCCGCTCTGTCAATATCTGTGTCTCTCATGGCTGCTCTGTCAGTATCTGTGTCTCTCATGGCCGCTATGTCAGTATCTGTTCCTCTCATGGCCGCTCTGTCAGTATCTGTGTCTTCCATGGCTGCTCTGTCAATATCTGTGTCTCTCATGGCTGCTCTGTCAGTATCTGTGTCTCTCATGGCCGCTCTGTCAGTATCTGTGTCTTCCATGGCTGCTCTGTCAGTATCTGTGTCTTTCATGGCCGCTGTGTCAGTTTCTGTTCCTTTCATGGCTGCTCTGTCCATATCTGTACCTCTCGTGGCCGCTTTGTCAGTATCTGAATCTTCCATGTCGGCTCTGTCAGTATCTGTATCTCTTATGGCCGCGGTATCAGTATCTATATCTTCCATGGCCGCTGTGTCAGTATCTGTGTCTCTCGTGGCCGCTATGTCAGTATCTGTGTCTTCCACGGCCGCTTTGTCAGTATCTGTATCTCTCATGTCCACTCTGTCAGTATCTGTACCTCTCATGGCCGCTTTGTCAGTATCTGTATCTTCCATGGCCTCTCTGTGAGTATATGAATCTTCCACGGCCGCTCTGTCACTATCTGTATCTTCCACGGCCGCTTTGTTAGTATCTGTATTTCTCATGCCCACTATGTCAGTATCCGTCTCTGTCATGACCGCTCTGTCAGTATGTGTGTCTTCCATGGCCGCTCTGTCAGTATCTGTATCTCCCACACCCGCTTTGTCAGTATCTGTATCTTCCATGGCCGCTCTGTCAATATCTGTGTCTTCCATTGTCGCTGTGTCAATATCTGTGTCTTCCATGGCCGCCGTGTCAGTATCTGTATCTCTCATGGCCGCTTTGTCAGTATCTGTATCTTCCATGGCCGCTCTGTCAATATCTGTGTCTTCCATTGCCGGTGTGTCAATATCTGTGTCTTCCATGGCTGCTCTGTCAGTATCTGTGTCTTCCATGACTGCTCTGTCAGTATCTGTATCTCTCATGCCAACTATGTCAGTATCTGTATCTCTCATGCCCACTATGTCAGTATCTGTATCTTCCATGGCCGCTCTGTCAATATCTGTGTCTTCCATGGCCGCTCTGTCAGTATCTGTAGCTTCCATGACCACGGTCTCAGTATCTGTGTCTCCGATAGATGATCTGACAGCCCTCATTGGTGGTTTTGAAGTTTCTGTGGATCTCATGGCTGCTCTGTCAGTACCTCTGCCCCTCAGGGCCAGTCTTCTAGTATCTGTGCCTGTCATGGCCGTTCTGTGACTATGTCTGCACATCATGTCGACTATGAAGGTACTTCTGCCTCTCAAGACCGCTCTGACAGTATTTCTGCCTCTCATGGAATCTGTGCCTCCTATGGTTGAACTGCCAGTATCTGTGGCCGCTCTGACAGTATGTCTGCCTTTCATGGCTGCTCTGTCAGTATGTCTGACCCACATGGTTGTTCTATCAATATTTCGGCTTCTCATGGCCGCCCTGTGACTATGTCTGCACATCATGGCTGGTCTGTAGGTATTTCTGCCTCTCATGGAAAGTCTGAGAGTATCTGTATCTTCCATGGCCGCTCTGTCAGTATCTGTATCTTCCATGACTGCTCAGTCGGTTTATCTGCCTGTAATGGCCACTCAGTCGGTTTATCTGCCTGTAATGGCCGCTCAGTCAGTTTATCTGCCTGTAGTGGCCGCTCTGTCAATTTATCTGTCTGTAATGGCCACTCTGTCAGTCTGCCTGTAATGGTGCTCTGTCAGTTTATCTGTCTGTAATGGCCGCTCTGTCAATCTGTCTGTAATGGCTGCTCTGTCAGTTTATCTAGCTGTAATGGCCGCTCTGTCAGTCTGCCTGTAATGGCCGCTCTGTCAGTCTGCCTGTAATGGCTGCTCTGTCAGTCTGCCTGTAATGGCCGCTCTGTCAATTTATCTGTCTGTAATGGCCACTCTGTCAGTCTGCCTGTAATGGTGCTCTGTCAGTCTGCCTGTAATGGTGCTCTGTCAGTTTATCTGTCTGTAATGGCCACTCTGTCAGTCTGCCTGTAATGGCTGCTCTGTCAGTTTATCTAGCTGTAATGGCCGCTCTGTCAGTCTGCCTGTAATGGCTGCTCTGTCAGTCTGTCTGTAATGGCCGCTCTGTCAATTTATCTGTCTGTAATGGCCGCTCAGTCAGTCTGTCTGTAAAGGCCGCTTTGTCAGTCTGCCAGTAATGGCCGCTCTGTCAGTCTGTCTGTAATGGACGCTCTGTCAGTCTGCCTGTAATGGCTGCTCTGTCAGTCAGTCTGTAATGGACGCTCTGTCAGTCTGCCTGTAATGGCTGCTCTGTCAGTCAGTCTGTAATGGCCGCTTTGTCAGTCTGCCAGTAATGGCCGCTCTGTCAGTTTATCTAGCTGTAATGGCCGCTCTGTCAGTCTGCCTGTAATGGACGCTCTGTCAGTCTGCCTGTAATGGCTGCTCTGTCAGTCAGCCTGTAATGGCCGCTTTGTCAGTCTGTCTGTAATGGCCGCTCTGTCAGTTTATC